TGATTTGTTCATAATAGCAAGATTTTCATCAACAACTATATTTGTGTTTACATCTAACATATCAGAGTCTAAATCAGTTCTTATTCTTATTCTATTTGATGTTCTTCTTGCCTCTCCTCAGGCCCAGATCTAGATTCATTTTGTATTTTTAGGGTAAAACTAGTTAAAATTAATTGTCTGTCATACCTAAGTCACAAAGGACTTATCAGTGTCCTATGCTAGTGTCGGGAAATATGTTTTAATACAGTTTATATTGGTATGGGCTAGCAGTTTTGAAGTCAGTTTAGCAGTCCAGCTTTCAATTCCAGATTCAATACTGAATGACAGGTGCCTTGAACGATAGTCTATAAATGCTTTTTAAAAAATTTTAAAAACTCGCCTCATTACATACACACTGTTCATCGTAACTTGTGCACACCCAAACATCCCCTTCCCCTCCCCACATATATATATAAACAGTGAACACACGCGAGAGCATGCGCACGCACACGCACACACACACACACACACACACACACACACACACACACACACACACACACACACACACACACACACACACACACACACCCGTGCATGCAAAAACAAGTTTTCAAAATATAATTACCCTATCTCACGGAAAGCAAGCGCTTTCAATGGGGCAATGATCATCTTTTTTTTTCCTTCCTTGTCTTTGTACTACCTGATTTTGGGCCAAACTACCTGAAACTGACCCTGAATCTACCTGAAATGGGAACTTTGAGGTAGGCAGCCCTGCGTACGGGTCACCCTGCACAGACCTATCACAATCTGCTCAGTTTATATCCCACCAAATTACCCCCTCAAAATAACCCAACTAAATAACTTAAAGGCCCAGCTTCCAAAACCCTTTATTTTGCTATGTGATTTTAATGCCCACAGCCGCCTTTGGGGAGACAAACCTACAGACCACAGAGGAAAAAATAATAAAAGATTTTTTATTCCAAAGTATCAACTGCTGTTTAAATGATGTCCCCCACTTACTGAAACAGATCCACTTGTGGCATTTCATCCCTTGACCTCACCTTTTGTACCCCTGACCTAGTCCCAGATTTTGAGTGGTCTGTGCTGGATGACCGTATGGACGATTTCCCTATTCTTCTAAAAAAACAATAGCCTCCAAAAGGACCCGATCCCAGAACACGTCAACTTCAAAAGAGCACACTGGGACGGGTTTGCCGCTGAATGTTCCCAGACTCTGAATCCCACTTTCGACCTCAACTACAACTCGAAAAGCTTTTAGAAATATGCCACAAGCACATACCAAAAATAAAAACAAAACCCCGGAAGAAGAAGATCTGGTTCTGTGGGGACTGTGATGATGCAGTAAAGAAAAAGAAGGCAGCATATCGTTGGCGGAGAATTCTAACCGTCCAACTCCGATTTCGTAAATTTTGCAGGAGAGACAAAAAACTGAATTCAAAGGCTCTTATGGGGATTTACTGTCTGTAAATGCGCTAGACTGGAATACATGACTCTACTTTTAAATATTTAAAACAAAATTGCCGAAATTTTATTATTTAAGTCCTAAACCAGAGTTATACGGATAGACCGCTCAGTTTTGGATTTTTAAGCATCCAAGTGTCGACGAACGAATTGTCCGTTTAAAATTCTCCAACCTGGTGGGGACGCCACGCGCTTCGTTACGTCTAACTCAGTCATCGTGACACGTTAGTGTTACCGAACAACTCGAAATGACTACACCTGCAGTCAATCCAATAGGAAACCTACTATTAAAGTTCTAATTAGTACTACATAGTAGTGTAGATCTAGAATCTAACAATAATACTGTTATTATATATCTAAACCTGAACGTCGCACTTTATTTCCACATAATTCTAATTAGGCAATGGGCTTGTCGACAGATTTAGTGCGTCGATAAGTTTTTACTATAAAGCTACTATTTGATCCTCCATTCTCAAGGAAATTGTGAGAAGGATTGGTTACTTGTCTAGCTACAAGAGAGAGAGAGATTGAGAGAGAGAGAGAAAGGGGGATTGAGATAGAGAGAGAGAGGGGGGGAAGGGTCTGAAAGAGAGAGAGAGATGGGGGGGGGGGGGGGGCAGAAAAGAATTCCCGTATACGAATTGTCTTCATGGAGCTTCTTTTATGACTAATTTTTCCTGTTTGAAGTGCAGATTCTGTCGCAGTGCTTGCTCTCTAGTCACTAGCATAATAGTTCTTTCATTTATCATTTTCCACCATGTTTTCCTGTCCTCGGTTATTTCTTCACAGATGCTGACATCTACTCCAAGCTTAGATAATCTGTTTTTGCAGATGTCTTTGTACCTCAGTTTTGACCTTCCCCTTGGTCTCTTTCCATGGGCAAGTTGTCCATAGAGAAATTGCTTCGGAATCTGGTTGTCGTCCATTTTCTTGACATGGCCCAGCCATCTCAATCTTCTTAAACACAGGATTATTTGGAGGGTTGATTCATTATGAGCGACAACAGCAGCATCACTGGCAAAGAAAAGGTCTCGTATTCTTGTTTGGTTTGTTGATTTTGGTCTTGGCTCGAAGTCGAGCAAGATTGAAAAGCGCCCCATCAGTTCTCCAGTGGAAGAAACTGAAATGCTTCTAACTCTAAAAACATGGTTTAACTTGGTTGGAAGACTCTAGAAGTAATATGATTTTTTTTAAAGCTCAACTAAACCTCATATAATGCATCCCCACCTAATGTATGGCCTAATTAAATAACACATTTTACATAGAAAGTCGTCAAGATGAGGTATGCCATAGCAGCAATCAGTGTCAACAGGAATGAATTATCCTCTTGTCCAAGCACCATTATGAGGCTTTAAAATGCTCTACCCAATGAAGCTAAAGTTCTGGTTAGCTAAAAAATAAACCAAAACACAATACACTGCATATCAAATTAGAGTTAACCGTGGGTTTTAACTTGCGCACTGGTGACGTACTCAATTCTAGACTGTCATAGAACTTGTGGTTGTCAGATGGCACAACAGACTTCATTTCTTGCATGTGTTATTAAAGTTCTCTATGGACGAATTAAATTTTTTACCCTGGAGAATGTCTGTGGACTCGCCGCGCTTCAAAGGCGGATGTGACCAGTCATCATCAAATCTCAGTTTGTATTTAATTTGACCATCTGGTGTGTAAACTCAGGTTGGTTAGTTTGATGAAATCAGAAAAGATACAATGAGTCAAATACTTGACTACATATATGGCTTCACTTTCCTACTTTCTTCCATTAGCCTGACATAATCAGCTGGGTAGTAGTTGTGCTGTGAGCACTGTCCAACTCCATCTGTGTATAGCCCTTCTCTAGGAATTTTAATGTTACAGTTTTACCATTGACTAGATGTTAATCTGTCCTCAGAGAAAGTTGCATTTGAAAATAGCAAAAGTTGCAAGAAAAATTAGCAAAAGTGGCAAGAAAAGTTGCAAGACGCGTATAGCTAAAACAATGTCACGGAACTATTGGAATACAAGGTTGCTATGCTCATTGCAATCAAAAGTAACCAATATGATTTTTGTTCGATCAAATCAGAAGTTAAATGTGAATGTCTACCCAAAAAAAAAAAAAAAACTGCAAGGAGGTTGCATGGTGTACAAAAACAGTTTGTCCCCTGACACATGCGTCAGGTCCTTAAACTCTCGCTGACGTTGGGCAGGTGTGACCAGCGTGGTTTTGGGGCTGCTCAAATATAATCTTACACTTTGTTTGGGATATCCCCCCCCCCCCCACTTTTTTTAACACTTTCCTCCCCCCCCCCCCCCCTTACACTTTTTTTTACACTTTCCTGCCCCCCCTCCCCCATCCTGTAATATTACGTTATTCGCTTATAATAATAATATGACATTTATATTGCGCAAATTCGTGTTATAATCACTCTTTTATGCGCTTTACTTTTAAATTATCAATTATATAGTATTCGTGAAAAACATGCATACACACATGTGACATAATAATTAAATAAGGTACCAGCGGAACTTTTCAAGAAAAACTTACGATGTCATTTTACCACTTGGTGTAATTAAAATTAGACTAGATCTACATGTCATGTAGCCCAGATACATGTATCTACCAGTGTATAAAGTGCGAGATGGCATATATTTATATCGTGTTTGCAGCTCGAGGTCCACTGTATCGCCACAATGCAGTGCTTACCGCTCGAACTTAACTCTAAAGTGAATGGGGAAGTTACACTCTTTTTATTTAAAACAAAAATTACGTTGTGATAAATTATATTTTCCTTGATCATTTTTTCACCTTACAAAAGTGTAATCTTACATAAGTTCAACCACCCCTTCCCCCCGCCTCCCCCCCCCCCCCCCACTTTTTCTAACACTTTATTTTTACAGGAGTCAAAGACCCCCCCAACCCTTTTTTTCTCCTGGCGTAAGATGATATTATTTGAACGTCCCCTTTAGGGGTTTTCAGGATGAATCGTTCCATGTCTAGATCTACCCTCCTAGCCTAAGATTTAAAGTCTTTCACAAATTTTTATACTAGATCTATCTACCTTGTGCTACGGAACCAAGCAAGCTAAGTAATCAGACGACCGTGTTTACGATTGATTTACTCTAGATCTAGATCTACCTAGACTAAAAGATGATTCAGTCCAAACAAGACTATTGGCGACTAAATGGCGAACCAGGTAGTGACTCCTGAAAAAGATTCATCCTGCCTCCAGGTCGGGGGTTGAGTCATGAGGCTAACAACCTCTCTCGTAAA